GAAGGGATTTTGCAAAAGTCATTAAAATTCCAGACCACTTAACTTTGAGTTCTTCGAAAGATGGGCTCGGGTAGGCATGACCTAGTCAGGCAAGCCTTTGAGAGGGCCCAGGCCTCTGGTGAAGTCAGAGGCTGTCTCTTGCTGGCTTTGAGAAAACCCGCTGCCCTGAATCCTGGAGCAGCAAGGAAAGGAAGCTGCTGATAACCTGAGCGAGCTTGGGGCTCCTCTCCCTGAGGCAGCCCCCAGATGAGAACGCAGCCTGGCCAACACCTCGACTCCAGCCTAAGACCCAGGCAGGGGACCTGGCTAAGCTGCTCCTGGATTCCTGACCCAGGGAAATTGTCAGATTACACATGGGTTTTTTTCTAAGCAGCTTAACTTGTGGCAGTGTGTTAGGTAGCAATAGACAACAAATTCCTTATATATTCTTTTTTTTTTAATTAATTAATTAATTTATTTGGCTGTGCTGGGTCTTAGCTGTGGCACTCGGGATCTTCGTTGCAGCAGGTGGAATCTAGTTCCCTGACCAGGGAACGAACCCAGGCCCCTGCATTGGGAGCACGGAGTCTTGACCACTGGACCACCAAGGGAGTCCCAACAGATTCCTTCTAGTGATATATTCTTTTTCTTCAAGTGTTCCTCCGCCAACTGTATAAGCTTCGGGTCCCATAAAATCCCTGATGCTGTAGCTTTCTGGTGCCTTTCGGCCGTAGGAATAGTCTTACTTCACCCACGACGACTGCCTTTCAGAGACGAAAATGTCCCGTCTGGTCCACAGAAAAAGTCCAGTCTCTCAACCAGGTTAAGTCTTCTCTCCCCAGACTCAGGTCTGCCCTGGCTCAGGCCCGCCCTGGCTCAGGCCCCTGCAGGGAGGAAGGGCTGTGGCCAAAAATGTTGAAAGGGGCAGGTGAAGCTCTCTGTGAGTGTCCTGGGGCTGCTGTCACAGACAACCACAGTCTGGGAGCGCTTGTGAAAGCAGAAGGGATTCCCTCCCGGTTCTGGAGCCAGAAGTCTGTGATCAAGGCGTCGGCAGGGCTGCGTCCTCACACGAGGCTCTACGGCAGGGTCCTTCCTGCCTCTTTCAGCTTCTGAGGGCCCCAGGTGATCCCTGGCTTGTGGCCGGGTCCCTCCAGTCTCTGCCTTATTGACACCCGGCCTTCTCCCCTTGTGTGTCTGTATCTCAAACCTCCCCCTCCTTTCTCTTATAAGGACCCCAGTCCTAAATCCACCATGATCTCAAGATCCTTAACTTAGTGATATCTGCACAGACCCTTTTTCCAAATAAAGTCACCTTCCCAGGTTCTGGGGGTTAGGCTGTGAACGGAGCTTTTGGGGGGCCGCTGTTCAGCCCCCTACTGTCGCTTTCAGCGTCCTTTCCGCAAGTGAACGAGGAACCAAGTGTGGGGCAAGGTGGGATGTGAAGTGAAAGGTAGAGATGGAGAGGGCAGGGAGGTGCCCGGTGGAGAGGATGCTGGGAAGGCACCTGCAAGGGTGACATTTAAGCCTGGACTGGACGGCTGAGAAGGGACCACCCCGTGAAGAAGAGGCAGGGAGACTGTGGGCAGAGGGGCCCCCACCGCTGAAGGCCTGGGGTGTGGGGGCTGAGGGCCCAGTGTGTCCGGAGGATGGCAGGTGCAGAGGATGGCGGGGAAAACTGTGGCCTGGCCAGTTTGGACTGTCTTGCAGAGGAAGCAGCCGTTTACCAGTAGCTGGGAGGCGCGGAGGGGCGTGTCCAGGGACGAGGTCCTGTGCTGGGGTGGTCCGGCAGCCTCCTGTGACCCTGGATACGCCACCTCGCCTATATTTCACCACCAGACCTTGTTCCTGCTGGATGGGGGGACCAGCGTTGCAGGGGTCCTGGGAGGGTCAGGCTGGGTCCCCCTTCATCCGCCTGGAGCCCCGATGAGAGTTGTGTAAAGCAAGGTATGAAGCCAGGCAGCTCTACGGGGCGTTTGATGAAGACGTTGGGGCATCAGAAATCATTATTGGAGGCGCGGCCGCCTGCTCTGTGTGGCTCCAGACACAGCCTCGTGCGGGCCTCTGCTGGACCGCAGGCCGCACCTGGGGAGCCTGGAGCCTGGCCAGTGTTCCCTTTTCCCGTGGCCCCTAACCGTTGGGCCATCCTACCAGGCGTGGCCCGGAGCCCGAGCCCTCCGTGTACGGGGCTGTGTCCAGAGCCTTGCTCCCCAGGCCTGGCACCACAGAGCGACACAGTAACAGGGTATCAAAAATCGTGGCAATTTTAACGGGTTTTTCTTTTAGACGGTGGATGCCGGGCTTCCGCTCCTTCGTGCCAGGGTCTTGACTGGGTCTTGTGGTCACATCAAAGCGACAGGTGCATGAAGTCCTGGCATCTCAGGGCTCACCTAAGGGGGGATGGGGGACAGTAGACAAATGAATAGATAATCCGCTGGGAGAGGGAGGGCATGGGGGGGGAGCAGACCTGGGTGTATCCCTGGGCGGGGGGGCGGGAGGCCTCTCAGAGGTGACAGAGCAGGGCTCTGCGGCATCTGGGGCACTGGGAAGAACATTCCAGGCCGGGGTGCTGTGAGGTTGGGTGGGGTGCCCACTTGGAGGGAGGTAAGGTGGGGCTACACGCAGGAGAAGCAGAGAGACCCGCCTGGGGGCCTGGGCCTGGGCCCCTGAGAGGGGGTCCCGAGGAAGCTGGGCTTCCATCCAACAAATGTCCCTTTCACTTAAGGTGGCCCCAGCTGCTGTCTGAGATGATGAGCCCAACTGGGGCAGTGGGGGCAGGGGCGGCGGCGCCCCCCCAGGAGTTTGCAGCCCCGATGGACCGGCATGAGTCCCACTTCACCTGGCCGTGCCGTGGGCTCGGGAGGGAGCTGGCTGAGCCCTTAGCGTGTGGCTCTGTGGGGAGAGGGAGGGCGCAGGACCCCAGGCCTGGAGGGCGGGACCCTGAACCCAGGCTGCCGGTGGAGCTGGGGCTGCCGTGGGAAGGGGCCTGGCTCTCTGGGACCCGGGCCCCCACTGGAAGTGGGATCATCCCCAGAGAGACCCTTGGCTGGCCATGGCAAGGTGGAGGCTGGCTCCCCGACTCTGAGACCCCTCCCCAGGTTGCACAGCAGTGGGGATGGGGCTCATGGCCGCCTCAGGACACAGCTCCCACCTCCCTCAGCAGAACAGCAAGGCGTCAGGGCCGTGGGGTCTGGAGCCAGTGACGGCGGTTCAAATCCCTTCTCCCAGAGAATGACCAACTGGCAGCCTGGGGTGAACGCCTTCCATCCTGCTGAATCTTGCTTTTCTCCTCTAACGGGGGAGCTGAGGAGTCAAAGGTAGGGCTCACAGGCTAGCCCCCCCAGGTCCTGGCTGTGTGACCTTAGGCCTTTTACACCACCCCCATCTCTCCCCCACCCCCCAGGGCTTTATTTTCTTGAGTGAGTATTAAATGTGTCAATATACCAAGAGTGCCGACCCCTATGTTCACAGCTGCACTATTACAATAGCCAAGACATGGGAGCAACCTAAGTGTCCACAGATAGATGAGTGGATGGAGAAGATGCGGTACATAGATACAATAGAATGCTACTCAGCCATAAAAAGGAAAGAAATAATACCACTTGCAGCAACATGGATGGACATAGAGATGGTCATACTAAGTGAAGTAAGTCAGAAAGAGAAAGGCAAATACCATATGATATAGCTTATATGTGGAATCTAGAATATGACACAAATGAACTTATCTATGAAAGAGAAGCAGCATAGAGAACAGACTTGCGGTTCTTGTGTGTGTGTATATATATATATATACGCCAAAGGTGCTTAGAACACTGTTTGGTGACAAGAGTTTGACTACTTGTAACTATGAGCGTCAGTGCACAGGGGAGCCAGCCACTGCCCTTAACAACCCAAATGTGGAGGACTTAACACCGTGGAGATTATTTCTCTCTCATATCACAATCCAGTGCAGGAAGGTGAAGGACAGAGGGTCTGATCCACGAAGTCATCTGGGGATCCAGGCTCCTTCCAGCTTGTGGCCCTCTTAGGGCTTCAGAATCTTCCTCTTGGGTCCTCTGCAGATGGGGGATTCCAGGGAGGCTCCTCTGGGCCGGAATCTCCACCCACAGGCTGAGGCCACGCTAAGTGCAGGGAGGCTGGGACTCGTGGGCCGGCTCTGTGTCCAGGAGGAAAGAGGCCAGTCTGTGTTAGCCGTTATTGCTCTTACATCCTGCAGCAGCTGGATCGCCAGGCAAGGTGAGCGGCTGGAAGGGCCTGCGAGGGCCTGGCAGGCGAGCGTGTCAATCATCCTCCTGGTTACATCCGAGTGGGCTTTGCCACCCCCGAGCGAGGCTACAAGGGGAAGCTCAGCCCTCACAGGGCTCCCCAGTGGCCCCCCCCACCAGGAGCATGTACAGTATATGTAACCAGCACCTCTTTAAATTCCTTAATCTTATTATTCCTTGGTGGGAAGCCTTGAACATTCTTTTCGTATTAAAAAATAATAATAATAAAGCCTGACAAATTTCTTAAATAGCATTCTTTTTTTCTACCCTTGGTCTCCGGGAGGACCATTTCCTGCTGGGGCCAAGGATGGGGTCCCGCTGGGTGTCAAGGGAGTGAAAGCATTTCTCAAACAGGGTCTCGTGGCGGCCTCTTCTGGCCCACTTGCTGCCAGCCCAGGGGACAGAGCACAGGCTGTCTGCACAACTGAAGTCCCAGGAAACGCCTTGCCCCCTCCAATCCCCCTTCCCACCTACTGTAGAAGGTTCCTGGCTGTGCAGAGGCACTTTCTAAAATGCAGATCTCCAGGCCCCACCCCAGTTGCCCTGATGCAGAGTCAAGCAGGAGAGGAATCTGAATTTTTAGCAGGTGCCCGGGAGACGCGATCTGTCCGCGGCCTGGAATCTGGGAAGCCGGGCTGTGGAGGACAGCGGGATGAGTCAGACACAGCCCTGCTTCTGGGACCACGACTGTCTGGCAGGAAAGGTAAGACAGGACCCCTATCGGCTGAAAAAAAAAAAAAAAAGTACAACTGAAAAGTTGTTTATGTTTTATTCAGCGGACTTGCTGAGAACTCAAGCCCCAGAGGCAGCCTCTCAGACAGCCCTGAGGAACTGCCCCAGAGAGGCAGGGGCGAAACCAGGATGTACAGGGGGTTTTGAGACCAAAACCAGGTAGTTGGTACATCAAGAGATTACTGTTAATTAAAGAAAACCCAGACATCTCAAGTTAACGAATTCAGCACTTTTTTATGTCTGGGAAGATGCAAGAGTCTGTGTTGATCGAAATCATCACTTTGATAAGCACCTCAGCTATCTAGGGCCAGCATCCCGCTTTGCTCCATCCTGAGTCCTTTCAGGGTGCACAGTGGGGTGTCGTGGCTGCAGTGCCTGCTGTCTTGACGGCTGCAGCATCCTTTGTTTCCCAATACGGGGGTGACATTCTTCGTCCACACCCCGGTCAGAAGCACCACGTGGGAGCACGGCTACGGGCAATGGCCCGTGAGCAGAACCCGGCTTCCAGCTGCATCCGGGGCCCTGTGCGTTCTGGTGTTGTGTCTTTGTGGATTCCATTTTACAGATGTGAAGACAGGATTCTTGAAGGCCAGTCACCCGGTCCAGTCATCCATAAGCAGTGGAGCGGGGCTCGAGTCCCCAGATACCACCATCTCTTGGGCCTAGAACTCAGACTGTCCGAGGCATGAGCAACTACCATTGAAGGTGGTGACGTGTGTGCCTCTCTCCTCAGGGGCTGCACGCGTGGCCACCTGTCTGAGCCGAGGAGCCAGCCGGCGCCGCGCAGGTCCCTCCAGAGGCCACACTGATCCCCACCTGCATTTTTAAAAAATTTTGAGGTCAAATTCACATAACATAAAATTAATCATTGTCAGGTCAACAGTGCAGCGGCATTGTGTGGTATGACCACCATCTCTATCAGGTTCAAAACATTTTCGTTACCCCCAAAGGAAACCCCCACACCTGTTATGTAATCACTCCCCGTTTTCTCTAACCCCAAGCTCTGGCAGCAGCCCTCAATCTGCGTCTGTCCCTGTGGATTTGCCAATTCTGACTGTTTCATATAAATGGGATTGTGCGACGTGTGGCCTTTTGAGTCCGGCTACTTTCACTGAGCAGAACGGTTTCCAGGGTCATCCCTGCCGTAACGGTGCCGATGTTTCATTCCTTCCCATGCGCACTCTTGCTTCCTACCCCTGGAGAGCAAGGAGCTGCCCTGGGGAAGACGGCTCAGCAGGGGGGATGCTGCCCCCCGGGGGGGCGGGGAGGGCGTTTTCTTTAGACCCAGGCCTCTGTCCTGGCTTCTTCTGCCCACCCCCAGGTGAGCCCAGGGAACAGGAAAGCACAGATGCATCTCTGCTGTAGAGGGCATGGGGCAGCAAATGGATCACTGCAAGCCTCGAGCTGGGATCTGACTCCTTCCTTTCCTCCAGCCCCGGGAGGTGGTGCATCTGTCAGCAATTTGACCTTTTATAAAGAACCTCACTGGATTTTGTTTGAAAGCACCATTTGTGGGTGGTGGGGGGGGCGGGTTGCTCCAGGCTCTGCTTATCCTTCAAACCAATTTCCTCCTGAAACAGTCTCAGCCCGGGCAGCGATGCTTGTCTGCTGTAGGGTGACTGCCTTCCCACCAGACCTGGCGCTCAGACTCCAACCAAAGCTGGTCCCTGGTCCTGGGGAGACAGAGCTGGATCCTCACTTCCCAGATGAGGGCCCACGGCATCCTCCTGTCCCGTGGAGCAGGGAAGTTGCCTCCCTGCCCCTGCTCCTTTCCTTCTAGAATCTTGTCCAGGGCGGCCCTTCAATCCCACAGTCCCGGCCCCGGGCAGGATGTCAGAGCTGCACCCACCCCCTGCACCCAATCCCTCTGCATCTTCCCGTGTTTTGAGAACTGTGATGGGTGTGGAGTGAGATAAGCACATCTCAGTGCCTGAAGACAGGCCGGGCTGGTGGGAATTCTTATGCAGGAGCACCTTCCTGTCGCTGCCTTTTCCGGGGCCCCTGATGGACCACAGGTTCTGGCCAGTCGTGAGGCGTGACCCCCCGCACTGATGACAGGAGGAAACCATTTATCGTCACGGAAGGATCTGGCTCCTGGCGTGTTTATCCAGAGGAAGGAAATAAGCTCTTTTCATCTCCTCCGAGCGGTGTCTGGCCCACTCGGCCGTCCGATCTGTCAGCGGGGGGAGTTTTAAATAACGTGTCCTGTGTTTGTCGGTACCTGTTTCGTGTCTGCCTCGGAGCTCTCAGCTCATCACTTCCTGGGTGTTGCACTTCACTGCCGCTTCCTCCTTTAAATAAACTCCGTCATAAATTTAATGCTTGTCAGAGCCGAGTTTAGAAATCTGGGCCAGCCACATGCGCCGGCGAGGCAGGGCTCTCTCCTCAGGCCGGCGTCCAGTGTGGCCGACGCGGGACACCTGGGGGAGTGCGGGCTGCGGGCTGCGATGCCGGCTGCGGTCAGAGAGGCTTGCAGGCTTGGGGAGGATGTGGTTTGTTTTTCCACATTTCGAAGCCAGGGAACTAGTGAAAAATCTCACCTGGCAACTGGCACGGAAATTGCTGGAGGGCAGTCGCACAAACCCAACAGCCTGTGTCAGTCTGCATCTCATGGCCAACAAGACTGTTGTGCTAAGAGTGCCTCCCATGGTGTTCATACCCAGGCAAAGTGACAGAGGAGTGAGGCCATAAGACTAGCAGCTTCCCATCCAAACATCCATCTAGCAAACATCCATCCATCCATCCATCCATCCATCTATCTACCAAACATCCAGCTACCTAACCGTCCATCCACTGAGGCGCTGTCATCTCACATGTCCCTGTGGACTGGACACCTTGCAGCCCCAAGAGAACAATGCCCCAGGGAACCCCTTGTCTGTGGGTAGAGGGGACTTTGGTCTTGGGGGTGATGGGGGATCTTGCGGAGTTAGGGGGCAGCTTCCAGGAGGAAAGAGATGCCCCATGCTACTGCAGCTCTTGAAGAGGGTGGGGTTCAAAGAATGAATCCCTTTCTGCCCCCACCCACCACCTGCTATCTCACAGGTCCGGGGTAACCAGAGTTAACGGCGGGTTCTCCGTATCTGCTGCATTAGTGTCCTGGGACTCTCGAAACAAAGTACCACGAATGGAGTGGCTTAAACAACAGAAATTTCTTCTTTCGTGGTTCTGGAGGCTTGAAGCCTGAGGTCCAGGTGTGGGCAGGCTGGTGCGTCCCCTAAGCTGCTCGGGGTGGCCCATCCAGGCCTCTCTCCTGGATCCTAAGGTCATATTCTGAGGTAATGGGGGTTGTGGGGTTGTGGGTTGTGGGGACACATTTCAACCATAACATCTGCAGACGCTAAAATCCCTCTTAGCGTGGAAAAGGGCCGCTGAGAACCCTGACCCTCTGTTGCCCTCCGACGCCCCCTCACACGGGCCCCTAGAGGAGCAGGTTCTGGCCACCAGGAACTACACAACCCCGCTCAGGGTCAGGGTCAGGGTCAGGGTCAGGGTCAAGTCAGGGTCAGGGCGCTCACATCCCTGTGGGACCTCAGTCCAGGTGCCCTGCTCAGTCCAGAGGCCTCTTGCAGGGAAGGCGTCAGGACATGATCAGGGCACCCAGCTCCACCTTCCACCTCCCCCAGGTCATGCCCAGCAGCCTCGGGTCCCCTGGGCCTTCTGGAGTGGCAAGTTCCCAGAACCAACCCGAGAATGCTGTTCCTAGAGCAGGTGTTTGGGGACACGCTCTGTCTGTTCTCAGGTCCCAGGCCTCCACCTGCTTCTACCTGGAGGCCGTGCAGCTCTGGGCGCCCTGAGAGTCCAGGAGCTGTGCCCAGAGCCAGCGGCTGGCTTGAGGCCACCTCGGCCTCTTAGAGAAGCAGGATGGGGGATGGTGACAGCTGATGAGGCCACGCGGAGGAGACATCGGGGCAGGGGACAGTTAGAGGTGCTGCTGGAGTATTACCGTCAGTCTCCCTGGAGGGCACCGTACCCAAACCGAGGCTGCGGAAATAAGGAGCCGGCTTTCCACACGCCCGTCATCTGGAGAGGACTGCTCAAACCCTAGTCCGGCTCTCAGGCGGGCTCAGCGATGCAGACACCTGCTTCTGGCCCCGTCCCCTGTTCCTTAACCCCTGGGCACACCGGGGACTTTCCAGCCTCTGGGCCTTGGTCCGCGGTGCCCTGCATTCCCTGGGCGTGTGCCGTGCCACCCCTTCCGGCAGCTGAACCCACCCATCAGGAAGCCACGCCCACCCTCTTGTTCAGTCGCATCTCTCAGCCGGACTGTGTACCACCGCGGGCCAGGGGCCTGGCTCTCCCAGCCCCGCCTCCCCCAGGTTCCCTGACTGGCGGCACACAGCCGAGAGCGCTGGTCAAGGGCTCAGCGCTCCTGTGGTCTTGGAGGCCTGCCGTGGGTGGGCAGCAAGACCAAGGCCACAGACGGGGCCCCGCAGGCCGAGAGTCCCCAGCCTGCAGCCCCCTCTCAGCGTGCCCTCTGCCCCCCTGGCCACTCCCCCTCCCAGTCTAAGCCTGGCCTCCTTCCCCTTCCTGTCGGGGTCACCGGCTATATCTTTTGAAGGGAAATACATTTATCTTCTGACAAAGGGTGGTGGTGAGTCTGGGGTCCTGAGAAACCAGGAAGCTGTGAGTGACCCAGGAACCCGGTGCCCCTTCCCCACCTGTCGGAATTGGGGAGGGGGTCAACGTCTCAGTAGCAGATCCCACAGGACAAGCATCTCATGACTGGAGGTGAGCTGTGAGCTGAACCTCAGAGGCTGCCCCGGACTCCTCGGGCCCCTGGGGAGGCAGCTCTGCCCCGTCTCCTGGGGAGGGGGATGGAGCTCAGATATGCCTGGGGCTGCAGGACCTACCCTTGGCCAGGGACCCAGCACGGGGCCTGGACCGAGCCTTGCCTTACCTCTCCCCAGCCATGCGCTGCGGGTGCAACGTAGAGATGGTCCTTCCCAGAGAGCGTGAGGACGCTCCCCACCATCTCCCACTGAGGGCACAGGGCTTGGGAGGCTCACGGGCTGCAAGCTCTTTGCAGACACACTTTGTGGGGCAGGATGCGCGCATCAAGTTTCTGGGAGGTGGAGGGGGCACCGCTCCTCCCCGCGCCCCTGCTGCACCCCTGCTGCACCCCTGCTGCGGCTGAGGAAACAGACGAAAAGAAGGAAAAGGGCCCAAGCTGGTCCTCCTGGGGGGCCCGGCACACACCGGCTTGCTGGGAGCTCTGGAGAGGCTCCAAGGCTGGAGGGGGGAGGGGACCCCGAGGGAGGACTCACCCCAGAAGGGGGCCTCGCCCCAGGAGGAGCTCAGGACACAGGGAGCCTCCGGGTGTCGCTGGGGAGGAAGAACCCCGGGGGTGACGACACAGAGAGGATCCTAGAACGCTGGGGTGCCGTGTGTGTGCATGTGAGTGGGTGTGTGCACGTGTATGAGTGTGCCGTGTGTCTGGGCATGTGTGCACGTGTGAGTGCCGGTA